CCCATATATAACCCCCCTTTAAGGAGTTTAGACTATGGCTCAAATCTCTCAACCCAAAACAAATTTCAGGGTGAATCTCAGGAATCCAAGATACCGCGAGAGCCGGAGACGCTTCGTTCGCGTCTCCGCCTTCGGCTACGGCTACGACTCCTGGCACCCGTGAACTAAGCATTTCAATGTTTAGGGTTTAGGGTTTAGGGCTTAGGGGAACTAACCCTAAGGGTCCATGTACCCAATATTTAGATACTTGGGATTTGGGTAATAGTAATTATAGTATAGGTTTTGGGCAAGTATATTAGGTACTTGGACCGTAAGGGTAAGCATTTCAAGATTTAGCTGATTCCGCGTTGGGGCACGAGTAACAACCCTAACTTCCTGTTTCCTTATGGGGCTTGAAGCGGCTTGAAAGCAAAAGAGATTCAAATTCGACTTTGTTAGGATCTGGGCTTGGTCGCTGGGTCTAGGGATTCAGGTTTAGGGCCTTGGGGCTGAGGATGAGGTAATAGAGCATTAGGATTGAGGTTCGGGGTTGGGGGCTTTAGAATTCAGGGTTTAGCGGCTTCGAGGTAGCACTTACGGATCTGGGTGTAGCAAGCCTGCCACTAAACCCTACAGCACACCCGTCTCAACCCTGAACCCTGAACCCTCCCATGAAGGTCATTCAGTCAGCCTACCAGGTAGTACGTGGACAAAAGCCCTTCATAACCCTAGACATGTCATGTTCTAATTGATGCTCCCTGTGATTCGCCATTATTGTTGTTTACTAAGGGAGGCTTACGGTCTTGCCGTCGAACTAAAAAAATACTAGGGTTTAGGGCATAGTGGATTTATTGACTGAGGTTGCGGGCAAAAAGCCCAAGGTAGGGTCGGGGGTCATGGCTCCGGGAAGCAAGTGGAAAGAACTCGGCGTCTGTCGTTCAAACTTTGCATAGAGATCGAAGCCTCCCGGAAGCCCAAACAAAGGTTCGACGAGAAAACCTTGGGGTTGTACTCCAAGTCTGACCCTAAGGGTCCAAGTACCTCATAATCATATACTTACCCAAAACCTGTACTATCATTACTATTACCCAAAACCCAATTACCTAAGTATTGGGTACATGGACCCTCTGGGTGAAATCCTCATCAACTTCGAAACCGGATACCAAAACCCTACGGCTAATTCCTCGGACTCTGCCTACCCATCTCTAGGAACATTCAACCCTGAGCCCTACCTACTCTGTACACAAACCAGCGGAGGCTAGGTGTACTTAGTGACGGTTTTAGGGTTTAGGGGTTTGGGGTTTAGGGGTTTAGGGTTTAGGGTGGAAACCTACAATCCCTGGCATCAAAAGCGGTGCCTCGATCGCGAAGCGGTGCCGAGCCGGCCACTCCCAGCCGCGCTTCGGAGGATTTTGTGCGCCTGCAGGGCATATAGGGCTTATAGGGTTCATGACTGAGGGTTTCTACTATGTAGAAAAATGCTATAAACACTACAGGGGGATAATATATCTGATAATTCAGAGGCTTTGGGGGGCTCTGCAAAGTTGAGTTGGGATCAAGTAGGGCTTCAGGCTTCAGGGCTCAAGCTTTGAGAGGTGGAGTTGTTTCTCTGCTGCATCGGGGGAGTTCTGGCCCGGGGTGTCAGGATGAAGTGGCTGAGGTAATTACATGGGGCTAGGTTGCCTTTTGCAAGTTTGAAGTCTAGTCTAGGGGGGTTTCAGAAGTTATTATGAAGTCTGCTTGGTAAGCTGCGCACACGACTTCACACTGCGGGGGCAGGTCGTGTCATGCGTTTTTGGCATTTGTGTTGCGGTCTTCAAGATTGCGTAGGTCCTTCTTCAACATCATGTAGAGTAATGATGCGAGAGGTGCGAACTTGTGCTTTCATGCAGCACCTTTCTAGATTTGTCACAACCTTTGGTCACGACTGTCCTCTGCTCCTGCACAAAAAAAAAGGCCGCAATTTCTGGAAGGTTTCAAGGACTTTGGAACGTAGCGCTGAGATTCAAAGCAGGCTTCAAACTTAGCATCTCGAACATGGTCTTGTATGAGGACCAGTCCATGATGAAGCATAGGGTATGAAGGTTTGTCCCTTCTAGAAGAAAGGGGCATTTCTTGCTACTAAGGACATGGCCTACGAAAGCCAATCACACTTTCAAAGCCCCTCTCTGAGTCAGAGATTGCATGAGACATGATGCCTAAATTCTCAACACCAGGCTAGGCCCACCAAACAAGCACGGAACCTGACAAGGCAGCTGCTGCGGTTGTACGCATCCATGCTATGGTGACTCCAGGTTAGTTTGTGGGTGGGTAAAGCCTGCACACTGAAGGCGTGCAGGCTCGGCGGAACTTCGCAAGCGCTGTGGCACAGGTATGCTGTGAGGGTTTCCTGGTTTTGCCATACATGGTCAAGATCCTCTGGGGTGTTCCGCACCACGCCCCGGTAGGTCGTGGCATGTCGTGGCCAGAAGCGCCCCGCGCTTTACTACATGAGTTTATTCATGAGATCCTACACACCACCCCCTAACTGTCCCTTTCCAAGCAGACCACAAGTAAGGCCCGTTTAGGGTCTATGTAGGTAACATTTTCTGGAGGGGTAGCAAGGGGTGTAGTTATAGTCCCCCTTAAGTAGATAGAATGTGGCTTTGGGTATATTATAATAAGATCCCCATATACCCCATATTCTATCTACTTAAGGGGGACTATACAACATCCAATGATTTGAAGTCAACGGCTTTCATCACGGTAGCCTCTGAGAAAGTAGAACTCTCTTCCCCAATAACCAGGGCTAAAAAAACGCTTAAACTCTACTATAGAAATCCAAAAACCCTAAACCCTAAACCCTAAACCCTAAACTAAGTGAGAGAAGGCATCCTTCAAGGCCAACCCCTGCCACAATCGAGCCAGCTTTGAGTTTGTTTACTCATATGGGTGGTTGTCAAAATTATGGTCCATTTTTGGGTCCCTATTATAATACGGCACCTGATAGTTAGGGTACCCAAAAAGGGACCATGATTTTGACAACCACCCATATCTTATAAAGCTGATGTTCTTACACCTTGGCAGAAACAGACTAAGAGCATTCGAATTTCAATTTCAACAATGACCCAGAACTGTTGACACTCCCTGAATATCTCCCTTGTGGAGAAGCGTCAACCCAGAATGTAGCTATGCTGAATGCCACTGATAAGCCCGTCTGAAGCAAGTCCAGGTTTCAGGTTGCTAAAGTTGTGGTTGTCCGGATTGAAAACAAGTAGGGGGATCCGGCATGCAATGGGGAAGTCACAAACTATGTTCATTGGAAACGCTTAGTCTATCAGGATCCCCCGAAAAATTGCAAACGGCAGCCTGCAGCCTGAACAAATCCAACAACAGTAGCCTCCCCCAAAAAAGAAACTGAACGAAACACAACTCAACCGACTGTACTCTACAAAGGTGCCCAAAGCTATGCGCAGAAGTGGCTTGCCCTTGGGATTCCAAATCTATAAAACCAATCAGTATGGATTGGGGCCTAAACAGACCCACAGTCTGCAAGCATACTCTGGGCCGTTTGGAGCGCTAAGTGGAATGCATTGCAATCCGCACTTAGTGTACAGCCTCCTGGAGCAGTTTGTCTCCGCCCATGGCCTGCCAACGGGCGTCATGCGAGATACAAGCGTTGCATCTCAGGATTCAGGGTTGAGGGGTTTCAAGGTGTATGGATGACATGAATGAAGGGGGTAGGTAGTTTAGTTTCGCAAGCCCTTTGCCGCCCGTTTGTGCACAGCATGGTAAGTTTATCAGCAGAGGTTTGGGGGACTGAGGGTCTTCTGCTTTTGGGCGTAGCGAGCTGCGCTAGCCTGTGTGGTCCTAAACCATGAAGCTTGAACCCTACCTAACTTGCCTGACACCTGCACTCACAATCACATACATACACCTTCTCCCTCACCAAACGCTCAATCTTAAGCCAAAGGGTTGCTCACACAGATTCAGTAGTCCGTCTTGGGACGCTGGTCATAACAGCTAGAAAAAAGATAGAAATGTTCTACGGGATTGTAAGATAGCGGTGCTTTTGAGATGATATGCCCGGCACAGGCAGTGACTGAACAACAGTTGTGAGCATTGACTGTCAGCTTTCCGTAGGGGGGGTAATGGCGCGAAGTCGCTTGTGCATGGCTACAGGTGCTGCCTGTCATCTCTCAGCTATATGGGTGGTTGTCAAAATTATGGTCCCTTTTTGGGTACCCTAAATATTAGGTGCCGTAATCTTATAGGGACCCAAAAGGAGACCACAATTTTGACAACCACCCGTGTGACATGGTGCCGCTAGTACGCGAGGGGTTCAGCATGATAACTTGCCAGAGCCGTTGGACCACACCTTTCTTCTCTGAAGCGCGCGTAGATGGGAGTTTCCAAATATTCGCGGTCTCCCATACCTGGTGATATACCCCAAAACACTATAGTTCGTACATGTTCTTGCAAAAGGACTCCCAAAAAAGGGCCCCTGTTTTCGGAAACCCCCAGACTGCACCTGAGCCACATAAGGCAAACGACCGTGGGCCTCGCTTCACGTGCTTCTGACGCCCCCCTTTTGGGGCATGTTGAAATCAATTGGGGAAAGCATGTCACATCCCTGCTGTGGAGGCCTAAAAAAATAGACAAGAGATACTGCGATTATAGCACTGATCCTACACGGGCTACGAAAGAACAATGTTGGTAATCATTTTCCTACATTAGCTAGTGTTGAGACCTGTGGAACAAGTCATTCTCGAAGGCAGCTCAGGACAAAGGCACCCTTGTCTCACAGCTGCATTTCCACATGTTTGTGGTAGTATTCCACTTTTGTTCACGCCCTTCCTGATATCGTTTTTGGTGGGTCTACATAGAACTACCCAACGAACCTTTAGGTGGGCAATCCTCAAGGTTAGGGTCCTTCTAGTACTTACCCAAGAGGTCGAGGCCCTCAACCCTAAACCCTACACCCTAACCCTTCCTATCTGGAAAGCACGACACACAACTTCGAGAAAATCCAGAAATGCAGATCACTCCGAGGCCGCGAGTCTCCCCTCAAGACAACGTTGGACCTAGGGATGCTAGGGGTTTAGGGTTTACTTGAAGGTTCATGGTGT